GCACCAGAAGTCCGGACATCTTCAAGTTGCCAAGGTTGAGAAACACTGCTCTAGATCATTTCAGACAAGTGGCCGTCCAGCGTCTTCTTATAAGCCTCCAGTGTTGGAGCGCTTCCTTAGTTCCCGGTTGCTTCTCTCCTTGATTAGTTTCCATCTGTTGCTTCTTGTCCTGCCTTCTGGTGCTTTGGCGAATAGGTGGAAACCCCCCCCCCCTGCTCTTCTTTGTGGCAGCCCTTTGACGTTGGAATCCTGCTATCATGTCACCCCTAGTTTAGGTAGTCTCCAAAAGACCAAGTTGGTCTGAAGTTAGAGGAAGGAGTGAAAGAGGCTATATGTCCCTGGGCGAGGGGGAATAATTAACATAGTCCCCCTGAGCCTCCAATATAAGAAGCTTTTAAAAAGCTTAGGAAAGAAGCAAATTTGCTTCAGGAATCTGATTATCTTTAAAAATGGGGTTAAAATACTTAGCCAGAAAACTGCATTTGAATTTTGAACATTGGCGTATGCTGAGCCATGTATGTCTCCACATGTAGGAAATTCTATGTAATCAACTTTATTTTTACAATTCCTACCTTTTTGCATCCCATAAAACTACTTTTCATTAACTTCTTTTGAGCTAAAATACAATTTACAAGCAGTTTCGTTTCTGAGCTCACTAATGAAATCATTGCATCATTTTTAAAAAAATCTTATACAGAGACATTATTTTATTATGATTGGGTTGCCCTAATCCTAACTTTAATTCCCGAACTTCCGGTTTGCCCGTAGAGCCAGCTTTCCGCGCTCCGGAGGCTACAGGGAGGCTCCTAAAGCCTCCGGAGGGCGAAAAGTGACCTCAAAAGAAGGCCGACAGGGCAAGCCTGGCGTGCCCTGACAAACGGCTCCACGTGCCACCTGTGGTATGCGTGCCATAGGTTCGCCATCACGGGTCTAGGGTCTCCTGCTTGAGAGGGGTTGGACTAGAAGATCTCCAAGGTCCCATCCAAATCTGTTATTCTGCTACTGTTCGTTGTCTTTTTCCACCCAGCTCCCCAAAATATGGTGCCCAGATCTGTCGGGCGTATTCTAAGTGCAAGCTGACCAGTGCAGAAGGGAGAGGAGAGCAGCGGCTCCTCTTGCTCTCGGCTCATGTTTAGCCTGTGACCAACATGGGATTCAATATCCCGGCCCTGCCAAGGCCTCCTGGCAAAGCAGGATCAAGGCTTCACCTGGTTGTGATTCCATCCCCCCCCCCCCCCCCGGTTGATGCCGCCCAGGGCTCCATTGGCCTTTTTGGGCAGCTGTTGCACACGGCTGGCTCACATTGAAGTGGTCGTCCACTAGGACACCTGGATCCCCTCGCAGGTATTTCCTCCTCCCCCCTCCCCCCTCCCCACCACTCCTGAGTCTGAGCTGCTGCGTCTGCCCTCAGGGAGCTGCTTAAAGGGGAGCGAGTCCCCGCCCTCCTCCTGCATGCAGTGAAAACCGCCATCAAGAAGCAGCGCAAGAAGATTTGGGCCAAGATGCTGGGCACGGAGGAGTCGTCAGCGGGCAGGTGGGTCTCTTGTCCTCCCCAGGCATCATCCATCCCCCCCTCTCTTTCTCACTCCCTTCCTCTCTGGGAAGTGTGTGGTCCCCAACAACCCTCTAGCCACAAAGAACCTGGCAGCCCAGCTCCCTTTGGCCTGGACAGGAGCAAGTGGGACCTCTTGGACACCTGGGGAGAGGAAAGGGGATTTATTCATTCCCCCCCCCCCCGCTCGGGCTGAAGAGAGAGAAAGAGAGAAAAATTGGCTTCCCCTGACATTTGGCCCTTGTGCTGACTCACCTTTATAAACCCACCTCTTTATGGCCGGCTCCAAACCCTTGGCAGGTACAGAGGTGAGGCTGGTGCGCTGTAGCTCCCTGCCTTGAGGGGAAGGTGGGGCCCTGTTTGTTCTGCAGCCACCCAAGGCAGGTTCTCCAAAAGAGCGCGGGGAGGGCGGAGGCAGCCAATCGGGTTCAGCAGAAGTGAGCACACCCAGATACTTTCTCCAACGTGGTTCTTACGGCACTTAGAAGCAACCTGGCGTGGTAACACACTGCCATGGAAAGGGGCCACTTCATCAGACGTGGGCATCCTTCGGTAGTCTGTAAGGGCCGCGACTTCTTCTCCTGAGGTTCAGGAAGGGAAAGAGAAGGAAAGCAGCCAGTTGAGGAAGAGATTCATTAACGAGGGAGCAAAACTAACGGGGGGGGGGGGGGGGGGGCATTTCCTTGGAGGGCTGCCACTGTTAGAGCCCCTGGACCATCTGATGAGATGAACGGCTGCAGTTCACATCTTGTCCCCCCCCCCCCCCCCCCCCCCCCCCCCCCC